TCCACTCTTCTGTGTGGAAAGCTCTTAATAGGTTTAAATCTTCATTATATTTATTTCTGTGGTGAGTTGCTTGTCATTTCCATGGTGGTGGCCTCCAGCTGAGGAAGGTGTGTGAATTTGGGCCTAAATTAAAGACTTAGGAAAAACCTGTTCAAGTTTGGTTTAGATACTTTGCTGCCAGGGGATGTCCATGGGTTAGGGTTGATTTAATGCCAGGCAGGTTGTTGCAATCAGTGTAGGAAAGCATCTCGTACTGAGTGAAACTACTGAGAAACTATACTTGACTACACTGGCTATATTTATCGAGATTTTCCAATTTTTAGGTTGTTTTGGGCCAACCTAAAGCAGCAGCCACCTAAATGCTGCGTGTTTGAATCGCTGAACATCTGTTGGGTCACTGAAACTTTCCTTTGACTGCTCTCAAAATAGTTAATCTTAGCAACACTCGTGTTCTGACTGGAGAGGTAAAAAGAGTAACTCAAAGAGCACTTTAAAGATTAATTTCCATCTAAACTGGGAAGACCTTACGTAACCAGAAGCCACAAGGTTTGTGTGTCATGACTCTCTGCAGAGCAAGATGTCTCAAACAAGGAGGACCTCCAGGCACTTTGTCCTCTCCAGCTACCCCAGCGGAGCACCAGAAGAGGAGCCCTACAGCAACCTCCAGACAATCCCAGACACCGCAGAGCAAATGGGGTTTGATATCAGGTATCACCACATCAATGCTCCTCCTGTCCTCCCCCCCCAGCACAGAGGGGCCAGACTGTCCAGAAGACTTTGCTAAGCCAAATAATCGCGTGGGTTGCTGCTGCAAGCGGGATAGATGCAAGTGCAGATAACCTGTAGTGCAAGATTACCCGGCACAAAGTGCCTGGGAGGTTTTTATCTCGCACAGGGGACACAGATGTGGCTCTTCATGGGAAACCCACCTGTCATAACAGGCAGCTGAAGAGGCCATTTTTACATAATTCTCCAGGCGCCGCTCACAGCAAGCTGGTGGTGCTGCTTTGGGTTTTTCTTAATCCCATACATACATTTTTTTCCAGCTGAAGAGTCAGGGGCTGCCTTTCTCCCCCATCTGTGAAAATTCCTTTCTGTGGGTGGTTTTTGTTTTGTTTTTCTTTTTTTTTTTTTTTTTCCCTGTTGATGGACTGACCAAACCAAGCCCAAGTTTTTTTAAGCAGCTCTCTAGAGTTAAGCTCTTAAGCCCACTGACTATTCAGCAGATCTCAACAGAAATGCAAGTTAAAATTAAAAAAACATATATTCCTGTTATTTGTGTACCAAAATAAACACAAAAACCTGTGTCTGAGAGAAGCTAAATCGAATTGGAAATTTTCATCAGGAAGGCATAACCGGCTTTTGGCATCAAAATGTTGCCACAGATGTTGTTTTCAGGTTTTTCTGTGCCCCAGGACCTCCCAAAAAAGCCTTTAGGTTTTGGTCAGTTCTTACCAGGGTACCACCCAATAGCTGGAGAGTCAGACTGCATCATGGAAATCATTGGGGTAAATCTGTTGGATGACAGAGGCAACATTTTTGTGAGATGAAATGTTTTGAAAGGTTCTAATTGAAAGCTGTTCCAGTATTTTGACTCTGGGGGTTGGGGGTAGGGGTGGGAAAGAAAACCCAAACCCAGACAGGAATTCCATTGTCTTATATAAAGAAATGAGACCCTTCAAAAAATCAGCACGTTTTTTTCAAAAGTGCCAAATATGCAGCTTTTTATGAGAACATCAAGGCTCTTCTTTCTGCATGTAAATACAGGTTAGAGACGCTTAATCGATAAAACCACAAATAACGTGGAGAGAAAAACAAAAAAACCCAAACCCTAACATTTCCATGCCCAGCTGTTGGGGGAATAACTGTACCTGACCTTTGCAGAGTGCTTTTAAGGACTTGCTGTGGCAGAATTCTCCTCTTAATAACATGCACATCTTGCAGCTCAGCTACTCAGGTTGGCCATCAGCTGGCCCTGATCGGGGATGAGTTCAACAGGAGGTACCACAGGAGCTTAGAAGACACTCTGCTTCACCTGGCACGATTGTAAGTCACCTTCTTGGCAGATCCTTCTGAAAACCCGCTTAGATAACCAAAATGTTGTGTTCCTGTACATAAAATAAAATAAAATAAAAAATTATAGCTACTACTGCTGCCTCCTAAGGAGTCTAAGAAAGGAAAACAGACACTGCAGCTTGTTTTACAAGGAAAAGCTTTAGCATGTAAATTGTTTCCACAGACTGCAACCATTTAAAGTCAAAAGGCACTTTTGAGATTGCCACTGAATCACTTAATTCAGAAAGCAAATTACTTTTAGCTTTCAGGGGTCTGCTTCCTAAATATTTAGAGAAATATACACCCTAAGTATTTAGAGGAATATGTAAATACACAAGACTTTCAGGAAGGAGCATATTGGAGGTTTTTTGTTTGGGTGTGGGTTTTTTTTGGGGGGGATCCTGTGGATTGTTTGGGTCGGTTTGTTTTGCGGTTTTTGTTTGTTTGGTTTTTTTGAATTTGGGTGGGTTTTTTCTGGTTGTTTTTGTTGGTTTTTTTTCTTGGTTGCTTTTTTCAATGTTCTAAACCAGTATTTTCTTGGCCGATTTTTAGAACAAATTTCCCATCCCCATGCTTTCTTTTTTTTGTTGTTGTTGTTGTTTTGTTTTCTTTCAATCCTCAGAGTTGCTATCAGTGTTTTCCAGACATGGAATGTTATTAGAAGTGTTATAAGAAGCTCTCGGAACGTTTTGAGCAGGAACTGGGCGAAGAGGATCATTGGCTGTAGAAGCTGGGTAGGGTCTCCCCCTCTCTCCTCCCAGATTTTTGCTGACAAGGAAGCAACAGCAACACTTAAAAAGGAATTAAGTGTCAATGAGTAAAGGAATTAGTTATCCCTAATTCCCGTCTCCTTTCTCCCCCCAGGTTCCCAGGCTTCCTTTCAGGTGTGTGTGCCAGCAGCTGGTGCCTGCAGCCCTGCTGGTCGCTGCCTTTTGGTGGGCCCTGAATTACGGACCGTAGAACGAACACCCGGAATTACAACGGGAGGTCATTGCTGGACTCTGACCAACATCATCAACACCCCGGTGGTGGCAGCTGGTTTGTTTTTCAAATGTACACTGATAAAAAAAAAAATCTCTTTAATATTTAAAAAAACCTAGGCTAGTGCTGGGTCACTGCTGTTTCATACTTTTTTAAAGAATTAAAAATGTTTAAAATAAGGAGGTTGTTGCTGGATAACTGCCTGACTTGCTAGTTTTGAAATGTGACTCCAGGCCACTAGACAGTCTGTCTTTTTTGTGTGTGTGTGTTTTAATACAATATAAAGTGTCTATTTCATATAAATGAGTTTGTTAAAGAGAACCTGGCTGTGAGGAAGACTGAAGGCATGCTGGACATCCTTTCAATTTTAACACTGTAAAAGCAAGAGTAAAGATTTAAAACCATGATATGTTTTTTTTTTTTTTAATTAAATTGTTGCTTCAAACCTTTTGCGGTGTTGTCCACTCTATTTTCCAAGACACGTTAATAGCAATATCTTGTCCTGTACTTTTTGCTGTCTAAGACTACAGGTCAGGCTGAGTTTGATTCTGGTGCAGTAAGACAGTTACAGACTCTCAGAGAGAGAAAAATGAAAGTGCATCTCTGTGGTTTGGGTATTCCCCTCAGCACAGGGGATTCCTGCTTCTTGCCCAGCCAAGCAACTGCTACAGTCAGTGCATTTGTGAAACAGGAAAATGCAGTATTTAGTGGATTTGTGATCTAAGCACTCACCTGAGAGGCTGGAGTTTCAAGTCCCTGCTTTAAATCAGACAAGGAATTTAAACCCCTCTTTTTTTTGTCAGGGAAGACAAATGCCGAGTCAAGTCAGATTTAAGGGTGTTGAGGAATGTGCTTCCTCTCCTTAATAAACCATGCCCAAATCCCATCACAATCCTAACTGCCCACCTCGGAAAATCCTGCTGGGAAAAAGAAAAGCCAGGCTCACCTGGACTATTTCAAGAGACTGATGCACTGCCCATCTCATCCCAGAGCTGCTCTGCTTTTCTCCCCACTCTTGCAATCAATAATTGTAAGGCTCTGAACCACGAGAGAGGGGAAGTCCATCATCCAGCACAGAGCAAAACACAGGTCCAGAAAATCCAATCACACAAAGGAAACAAGTGAAACACAAAGCAAACAGCATCCAGGCCCTTCTTCCCACTCATTAAGCAAGGCCCACAAGGTGGAAGGTAAGAACACTACAAATAAAAAACGCGTCTCCAGGTCGAAAATTCAAATAATTAAAAAGGAAAGTACAGAAATTTTAAAGCACTGTACTAAAAGCAAAAAAAAAAAAAAAAAAAAAGAAGTGCCATGCTCAGTGCCAGCTATCTTAAAAGCTGGTTTGAAAGTCACCAATGTTATATTTGGTCTTAAAAGGTGTAATCAGAAGCTTCTAAGAGAGCACAATCCAGCGTTTAATAACATGAGTGGGATTTAGTTGCAATGTTCTAACACTCACTGAAAATTTTGGGATGCTTTACTGAATAAATGACACCTTACCTGTAACATGGGAGCCTTCACTGAGACATTTTCTTTACAGTAATCCCATCCCTGAATTGTCACCCTCCAACAGTCCAGTGATGAAGCTGAGAAATCCATCAGCGTTTTACTAATTGTTAATGTTTACAAACGTTGCCAAAAATGAGGAATTTGTGCTGTAGGGGCAGGCAGAGCTGCCAACTGCAGCTCACAAAAGAGCTGTTTAATGATCCAGCCCACTTAGCAATCAGAATTCACCCTCCCTTCCAGGACAACCTGCTGCTCTCCAGCTCATCATTTCCCCCTGCCAGGAAATGTACACATTTTTGTTAAGCTTTTTGTTCTTTCTTCCTCTTCCCCACCCTCCTCCAAGCAAAACATTTCTTTGTGGAACTTTGCACAACCACCGTGGCATTGGAGAACTGGAAGGAAAATTACTCTAGGCCAGTAATGGTGCACCCCAAAGCATTGAAAAGAGCAAGAAAAGCTTCATAGTTTATTGAACAGTTTAACCTTAAGAAAATCACATTCCCCATAACATCATCTGCATTACTCGGCTGCTGCCTGGAAATATGGGAAAAAACAGAAGGATTTTACACAGATGAACATCCCACAAGTCAGGTGAGTTACAAAACAGGAACATCAACCAGGTGGATCCTCTAAACGTACCCTCAAGCCCAGAGCAGAGCCCTCCACCACTCAGCTCATTTCCAGCCACTGTATTCATGCAGAGGATCCCTGCTCCAGACAGCCAAGGCTACCAACTTTAACTGGGATAAATGCCAAGAAACCCCAACACTGGAAACAAAAAAAGAGCAAAAAAAAGAAGAAAAAAGGAAAAAAAAAAAAGAGAAGGAAAGTTGCTTGCAAGATGGAGGCCAAACAGTGTTATTTGGCCTGTTTGCTGACAGCTTTGCAGTCCCAACACAGATGGAAGAGCCAAACTCTGCTCTCCCTTCCACACCTGAGGCACTCAGAGAAGGAGAACGTTCATTGCAATGAAGCACATGGTGCTCTTCCCATCTTTTCATCAGGAGAAGCCACGAATGTTTTATGACTTCTTCTCTTGGGAGCACAAGGTTCTAAATCAGAAAAAAAGACCCAAGCTCTGTGGATTTTTTTCAAAAGGTCACTTAAATCTCTGCTGCTTCCTCATCTTCCAGAGCATCCACGTGTCTATATTGTTTCCAGGCCTTCAAATTACATTTTCTGAGAATGGCTCCCAGTTGATTCCCGGGCCCCACTTCGTAGGTGTAAGGGAATTCCGTTCCTTGTTTCCTCTCATACACCGAGTGCATGGTCTGTTCCCACAAAACAGGGGACACCACCTGCTTCACCAGCAGCTTCCTGATGTGCTTTGAGTGCATGTACTTTTTGCCATCCACGTTGGAATACACACACAGCAGCGGCTTCTGGATCTCGATGGATTTTAGGACTTCGGCCAAAGGCTCCACTGCTGGTTCCATAAGTCTGGTGTGAAAAGCCCCACTGACTGGGAGCATTTTTGTACGTGTAAAATAGTATTTTCGGGCATTCTGCTGCAAATACTCCAAAGCCTGTAAAAGAGAGAGGGAGAAGTGAGAATCTTGCAAAACAAAGGTTTCCTCAGTCGCCCCGCAAGAACCACCTCATCAGACTTATGGTGATAAGGGGATTCCTCTCCCAACCCAACAGCTGAAAGATCTCTGCAGGAATTCTGTGTATCCTGAAAGAATCACAGAACCAACTAGACATCAGTACAATCAACTGAACACATGCTGGGAAAAAAAAAAAACACCACTTTTTGGACAAACTAAGGCCGTAATCATAACACCCACACAGACGTGCAAAGCAACAGTGCTATAAGAGCGAAATGCCAAGTTCAACCCAAGTTATTCTGAAGCAGTAGTTAAGTTACCCTGCAGCAGTACCTGTAAGTGTCCTGCAATGACTCTGCTGTCGGGAAACAAGTAGTTCGAGACCGTGCACACGGGGTTCTCAATACCCAGCGATTCACAGTGTTTGCGGGCCTCCAGGCAGGCAAATTTGTAATTCGCCTCTGGCCGGCCCATAACCGAGAGCATCCCACTGGGAACAGCCTCGGACGCCTTCTGCATGGCCTCGGCGCGCACCTTCACGGCGTACAGCGCTGGTGGGGAGAGGAAAAACACGGGGTGTGGGGGTAAATAAACGCCTAAAAAAAACCCGTCCCAGCGGGAACACGCCGGGAAAGGGGGGTGGGTAAAGATCCCCGAGGAGGGTTCCAGAGGCACCTTCGGCAAAGCCCAGCGCTCCAGCGAACACCAGCGCCGCGAACTCGCCCACGCTGTACCCGGCGGCCGCCACGCAGCGCTCCACGACCTGCGGGACACAGCGCAGCCAGACCCGCATCAGCCCGGGGGAGCCCCCGGGGCCCCGACCAGCCGAGGGGGAGCCCCGACCAGCCGAGGGGGAGCCCCGAGGAGCGCCCCGTCCCGTCCCGTCCCGTCCCGTCCCCCTCACCTCAGGCCGCTGGTGGTTGAGCTTCTCCACGGCGGCCAGGGAGGCGACGAACACGGCGGGCTGGCAGTGCTGGGTGCGGTCCAGCGCGTCCCGCGGCCCCTCCAGGCACAGCGCCAGCAGGTCGTAGCCCAGCACCTTCTCGGCCAGGCGGAACATGTCCCGCACGCCGGGGTAGCCCAGCAGCCCGCGGCACATCCCCACGCACTGGCTGCCCTGCCCGGGGAACAGCAGCACCGTGCCCTCCCGGGGGCACCGCCGCTCCCGGCTCGCCGCCGCCGCCGCCGGCGCCCCCTCCGCCTCGCCCGACTCCACCGAGCTCTGCAGGAGGTCGCTCAGCGTCGCCCCATCGCCGGGGCCCCGGGAGCGGAGCCGCCGGCCCGCAGCGCCGCGGAGGCCGCCGCGCCCGCTGCAGCCAGCGAGCCGCCATGGCGCCCACACGGCCCGGCCGCCCATGGCCAACCCGCACGGGGCGTTGCCGCGGCAACGGGGCGGGCCCGCCTGAGGGGAGGCAGGGAGGGAGCGGCGGGGGAGGCAGGGAGGGAGGGAAGCGGGGAGGGAAGGAGGATGGATGGAAGGAAGGAGGCCGGGAAGCCGCCGAACTCGCCGCCCTTGCTCCCCAGCGCTCCGCCCGCCCAGCGCCAGAGCCCGCCTCGGGGCGGGAGCAGCGCGGGCGGTGCCGGGGGCGGGCTCTGCCCCAGCGCGGCACAGCAGCAGGAGGAGGAGGCGCGACCGGCGGCTGAGGAGCGAGGTGAGCGCGGTGTTCCTGCGGGATGGGACGGGATAGGACATGGAAGGCAGCCGGAGGGTCCGCCTGCCCCAGCCCCAGCGCGGGTCCCGCTCCGCGCCCCGCGGCACTTTCGAGCGCGTTTATCCCGCTGCCCGCGGCCGGGAGGGATCATCCATTCCCCGCTGGATGGACACAGCGTCCGCCGGCACCCCGCCGCGCCCCGGGGCAGTTCATCGCGGGTGGGTTTATCCCGCGGCGGGGACACACGATGGGGATACCCCCGGGATGGAGGAGGCGCCGGGACGGGGCTGCTGCGGCTGGCGGGCTTAGGGGAAACACCCGCGGCTTCTCCGCGTTTGGCGTGGAAAGCACTTAAAAAAACCCCTTAAAAACAAACAAACAAACAAAACACAACCCCCCCAAAAAAACAAGGAAGCCCGGTATTACTTTTTATCCGGCGTACGAGTTTCCCAGCGGTTCGCAGCCGTGCCCCTGTCCCTCGGATCTGCGGCTCTGTACACTCGCTCTCTGCACTCGGCAGAAGTTTTCGGGCTGCTCTTAAAGGCATCTTCCCTCGGGAACATTTCTTCCTTCAGTAGCGTTTCTCTAAGGCTGAAAGAAGAGGGGTTTTCTTCCGAATTTTTGGGTAATGCTCGCAAATCGGCACAAAACGCTCTGCGGTACAATTCGAGCGTTCAGTGGCAAGATTATTAAAAAAAAAAAAAAAAGACATGAAAAAGGACAAAAAAAAGGGAAAGTTGCCGTGCCAGAGTTGCAGTTGTGTAATAACTTTGCATCATGTAAAGGTTATGAAACAGTATCAAGCATTGAGTCAGAGCATCTCAGTAAAAGAGACTTTTACTGTGTTAGTACAAGCTGGGAGAAGGAAATGAATCACAGGGGTCCCAACAGCAAAAGGGTGCAGTCTGTGTGTTAAGCATGTGGTGATGCATTTTACCCCATCAGAATACCTGGCAAGCTGAAAAAAGTCAGGCCTATAAACTAGAAATATCCAGGAGAAACTTAATTGGCTTTTTTTTAAGAGAAGGTGTGGATGATGAAGAAGAAAAACCTACAGAGGACACTGGGTGGCTGCTTGGAAAGAAGGGGTGTTTTGTCTGCATGCAGAGGTTTTAATGCAAACAGACACAGGGAAAATGAGAAGAGATACTGAACAGGAAATGGCAAATTATTGCCTGGGAAGCTTTTGTTCCAGCATACATTTCAGTTCACTGTATTTAAACCTTCAGCAAATCATAGATTTATTTGCACAACTTGTGCTCTGCTACTTTAAAAGAATTGTAACCTGGGCAGTGAGATTTTTTTTGTTCCTATCCCTACACCTTGCATTGTATTCTTAAATAAATACCATTGTTTTCAATTAAAACCACTTATCATAAAGTATATACTTAATATTATATATTAAACATAAACTACATACTATACACACTTGTTAGATATGTAACATTTATTGTTTGCAGTGTCTCAATATTACTTGAGATTATGTAGCAAAGAAAAGGCTACCTTTGTTTTGTGGTAGCTGTTTTCTGTGCCACAGACTGTGACATAACTTTGGTTTTAGTGTTGCAGTTTCCCAGGACTTAAAGCCACAACACACACACAAATAGTTTATCAATATAAATTAAGCAAGTTGAACTAGTGGGGTTTTTTCCCCCCCTTTGTTTCTCCTTTTACTTTTTATAGCTGGAATCAACTTTGTTTTGAATACCTAGAGAAATTATTGCAACATGTATGTAAAACAAAGTGCAGCTTCCACTGGACTGCTGAAGCTGCCTGAAGTCAGAGAAAATGGGCAAGATCAGAGAAAATGGTGAAGAATACGTTGCAGGGCAGAGATAAGAAAGTGGAAACAGAAATAAGCAAGTTAAAGGGGTGAGAGAAGAAAATATTTCCAACTGTGGTGGTTCTTTAGGACAGTACCTGCTGGGTGCACTGCAGATACCATCTCCAGACATCCAGGTTTCCTCAGGATGGAAATCAGGGTGCAAGAATGTTGTGCAACTCGCCCTGAAGTGGAGCTGGGATATGACTGGGAAAGCAGTTATTATTTCTGGCTTGTGCAATCCAGAGGGGCTGTGCTAGCAGGTCTGTGGTGTGTAAATTATCACCAGGTCATTGCAGGGTATCAGCAATACACTGAAAGGAACTAAAAAGGCTGAGGGACCTCTGTGGTTACATTACTTTCAGAAAATGTGCTGGGTGTTCTATAAACCCCTCACGCTGCACAGCTCACCAGATAAATGCCCCAGCACTGACAGAATGCACAGACTCTCCACTGCATCCTTATCTTCTGCTTACTCTCCTGCTAAAGACTCACATGAAGTAACCAGAGAGAGACAGACACAGCTTCTTTCTTTGCTTTCTGCTTTCCCTGTTTCTATTTGCCTGCCTGGTTTCCCTTCCATCATCACTTAAGAATTATTTCAGTGCATTCCCTACATCATTTCTTCACTAATGACTACAACAGAGCAGTATTTAGCACTCTCAGCTCACACAACACTTTCAGACTTTCTTCCCTGGGGGGAAAAGCTGACAGAACCCCTGGCAAAGTCCAGTTGCTTCACACTGCAGGAAACCACCCTCATATTGTTACATCCAAATAAAACCCTTTGGGTTTTTGCTTATCACTTTTTACCAAACAGTATTTGACAGCCACAGTGGAGGTGCACAGATGACAGAACATGTACAGAACTAAGCCTGGTGTTTGTTCTCCCTGTAGGCAAAGCACAAGCAGACGGTTAAAAATCAGCTGAGATCTCATTAACTTTAAATTTAAGATGCACCCTGGTAAAAAGCAAGTTGAATCCATCAGGCAGGAGTGTGAGAGCAATGAGTTGTGCAGATTTTTTCCTCTGTCCCTTGTCCATCCTTTACCCAGGACCTAACTGATCCTGTTCTCTCCTTCTCCCCAGCCTTAGTTATGAATTATTCCCTGCTTAGTTTTTTTCACCCATTCATTCTTTTGTCCTGCTTTTGACCTTGCATTGCTTTGTCTGCTGCCTTTTTTGTGTGCATTTATATTAATTTTTGACTTCTCCCAAGGCCTGCCCACAGCCCAGCCCTTACACACCCTTTCTTGTTTGCTCTTGACAACCTTTCTTATCCCTCCATGCTTTATCAGCCCCTCCATGCTCTCTGTTTTGCCTTCAAAATTCTGGTCTGGTTTTATCACAGGGATTTCTGTTGATCCCATGGATTGTGGTCCCAGCCCCGAGTAGAGGGAGAAAAACCACACTGCAGGAGCTCCCTTTGCTGGCCAGGCTTGTCCCTGATCTCCAAACAGAAATCCACCCCATCAGAGCCACCACAGTGCAACAAAATCTGTGCTCCATTTCCTCTCAGTTCCCAGTAGGATTTCCTCTTCCTCGGTCCCTGCCTCCTCATCCTAGCAGTGCTGATATTAGCACTGGAAGTTTTTAAATGCAGTGAAAGACAAGAGCCAAGACAGTATCAGTATGGCTGTTTTCTCTGACAAGCCTCTGAAATGCTTGCTGCTTTAAAACTCTTTTATCCCCCTGGGCCTTCCACAGTTGCTCCTCCCTCACTGCTGCAACCTTCCCTTCCTGCTGCCTCCCCCTCCTGCTCGACAGAGGAACAGGAACTGGGTGTATTATTTGCCTACTGCATATTTGAAAAAAACCCACCTTTCAGTCCTGCCCTTTTTTACTGTAGCTCTGGTCTGTTTACATTTCAGTAAAAGAAACACTTGGAGCACTTGGCTTTTGGCCAGAAAGTCTGCAGTGAAGCTTTTCCCTCCTTCCTTGCTCACCGGTTTTCCTGCTGCCTGTGCTCTTAAACTGAAGCGTTTACAAAACATCCTCGAGGTCGCTGCCTTCTCATTGTCCTCCCTGGTGTTTGTTTTCAGAGGCGGCTTCTCAAGTGGCCATTACTAATTCACGACCCTCTTACTGCCCCCACTGAGCATCCTCAGCAACCTTTTGAGGCTAAAAACCGCAATACAACACATAACGTTATTTTGCACATGCTCTTTCCTCACTCTTGGCTGTGCCCTTTCACTGAGTGAATGTTTTTTTTGGTGAATGCAGAAGTACTTCTTACTGCATTTTTTATTTTCCAAGTGCAGTTCCTGTCGTATCAAACTGCTTCATTCCTCTGGCGTACTTATGGGTATGAAACAAATGCCCTTAAGGGATATTTATGAAGGTAAAATTCAGTAATTTTAGTGCTGAGAAAGAAGTAAAGGATTCTGTCACTCCCATTCCCAATTTACAGGAGTATTGTCCAGTGAGGCTGGGACAAGATCCATTAATCTCTCAGTGACCTGAGTAGGCTGTGGATCAGATCCCACACGTGTACATCTTTTAAATCTGCCCCAAATGGAAACTTTTTGTGCCAATCCACATGTTTGGTTTCGTTCCAGGTTCACTGTCTCCATGGAAGTGGTACCAGCCTGGGCCCCAGCCGTGGGTTTCACGCTCCTGCCCCATGCAGGGGGATTTCTAGGAAGCACTATCACCAAAAAGGAAATCCCAACATGGTATCAGACTCTGCAGAAGCCATCCTGGTGTCCACCCAACTGGGTGTTTGCTCCTGTGTGGGGAACTCTCTATACATCCATGGGGTATGTCTTAAGGCACTTCACCTGATCTCAGAGTTTCTTACTGGACAGTGCTGGACCAGAGAACTCTCACTGTACTCCTGGGGCTCTGTGTTTGTAAGAAACTGTGTCAAGCTGCCTGTTGGA